TTCCACACCGGGCTTAAAATCGGAGAGCTCAAAAGAGGCTGAAGAAGCCGTGGCAGCAGGCTTTGCCTCTACGGCCTTGACATGGTTAGCAACCCGGCATTCGTCTTTACGACGAGCGCTTACAGAGCCGCCAATAGCCAGAACAGTAAGGGCAATTTGATTGAAGAAAACCATGGTTGCCAATCTCAAAATCTTAAGAAGAGAAACCAAGTGTTGAAACAGAGAAGTTATTGCTATACAGGTCCCAAGGGGATATTTGAATGAGCAGTTGAAGACGAGTTCTTAAATTAGAAAATGCATGTGGATATAGATGAGTCGAACAAGTCCTCCTATGGAATGAGGATGATCTTACAACTGTAAAGTAAAATGTTGCAAAACAATCAAGCTGTATATTATATCCTAACCTGGCTCAACTGCTATTCCACTCGCTGTCATCAGTATCAGATCATACCTTGGCACCTTATCTCATGCTCAAAGGATGAGCCCGTCGCTTCAGGATGCCTGCTGGGTGAGATGAGTACAGAAGGATTCTGTGGAACATGGTGCAACAAAAAAAAGACAACCATCATGCACTGACACAGCCGTCTTCTGGGCATGATTTTCCAATGGCTTATTCAGTAGTCATAAATAACAAGGGACGAAAGTTCCAAACTGCTAAATATGGTAAGGCCACAGGTGAGATAGTGGGTCGAGAGCGAAACCCTCTCCAACAGGAGATTAATTACATCCTTGTTTGAAATGCCCTTGTTGTGATGATCTTTAACAGACATGGCCTTCAGGTGATATTTACAGCTCAGCTTTGACGGGCCCCAAATAAGCTTACTCCGGAGTTGATTTTATATTCCGAACTTGGCTCGACCTTTATCGGAGAAATGGGAGTGGCTCTCGAACCACTATGACAATACATGCTTGCATTTTTGACATTGTTATGTTGAGAAGTACTTCATGACTCTCAAAGCTGCATGGAGGTTCCAATCGCAGCCTCTCGTGCTTTCCGAACCTCGTCGCGTCTCTCTTCGTTTTCCTCCTTAAGTCGTTCCTCAACATCGTCTCTAATAGCACCAAGATCAGGCGGTATTGTCTGGAACTGAACGCTTGGTGCTGCTTCCACAAACCGAAGTTGTTCCGTAACATGTTGTACAATCTCCTGTAGTCGCTTCGGGGGATTTCGATTCACTCGTGGTTCGCCCAAGATTTGTTCCAGAGTAGGGAAGAGGGTATCCTGCCGGAAGTGATCACGCCATGGGGCATGCTCTGGAAGAATGGGGTTGATCTTGTCTTGGGCATTGATAGCAATACTTGTCTCATAAGTCCATGCTCTCGCCACGTTCCGCGGAGTGTAGCCGCCGCCTCCAAAGAGGATCATGGGGATGCCCATTTCTTTGCAGAACTTGACACAGGCACCGTGACCTTGAACTTGGAGATTGAAGCGGCCCAGACGATCACCGGCTAAAGAATCCGCACCACATTGCAAAGCGATCGCACCCGGTCGAAATTTCTCCACAATCTTACCAATTACAGTGTTGAATAAATGGTCGTATTGCTCATCAGTGATACCGTCGTTCAATGGTACGTTGAAAGCATGATGAGCGCCCGGATTATGCTCGCTCTTAGGGCCGTTGTCATCGAGAGCGCCAGTGCCCGGGAAGAAGTTATTCGGGTCATATTTGTGAAAAGAGACTGTCATGACTCTGTCCGTTGAGAAAAATGCCTCTTCCACGCCGTCGCCATGGTGCACATCGATGTCGATGTATAATACTCGCGGGTAGTATCGAAGGAGTTCAAGGATGGCGATCACGATGTCGTTGATATAGCAAAATCCGGACGCTTCAGACCTCTTGGCATGATGAAGACCACCACCCCAAGAAATAGCGATATCAGACTGCTTAGAGCAAATCTTCCTGGCCGCATCAAGAGATCCACCGGCTGATAACGAACAGTAGTTGAAGAGGCCATCAAAGAGGGGGCAATCGGAACCACCAAGATTGAACTTGAGGTCAACCCCTTGGTTCTCGAGATCCCGAGGCACTGGCTCAGGTAGTACAGTACCAAGGAAATCCAGATAGTCAGAAGAATGAAATTCAGCAAGCTCCTCATATGTGGCGGCTCTGGAGATGTAGTTATCCATTGCGAATGACATTCCGTAAGAGTAGATGAGACTCTTGGAAAGAGTTAATCGCCACGGTTTCATAGGATGAGTGACTCCAAAATGATGCTTCTCAATTTCCGGATTGCAGTGAAACGAAACATTGTAACCTTTGGGTTTTGTGATACCAGACTCTTCGGCGAGACGCTTGCATTTGTTGTAGAATTTAGCATTATCCATCTCACTAGCCAGCCCCAGCGGTTGATTGGTGAACTCTTCAACGACCGAGTTATCACGATCCTCGTCTGCAATATGGGGAAGGTAGTTGGGTTTAGGCACCCGGTACCTATAGGAGTCTATGTTCATAGTTGGAGTACAAGAAAGGTGATGCCTTGATATGGATGTGAGATGTATCGAGTAGTCCAGACGAATAGTGACTTGAATAAGTCGTTGCCGCGTATCTGATGCCAAATAATGATAATAGTGTGGTTGCAAGATATCGATAAAACTATAGATAGTATGAGACAGCTGTAATGCTCTTCAAGCGATGATCTTTGACCAAAGTTCGGGTGGTTGAGATGCGTGGTATAGTTAATGTAGTAGGTGAAATGGATGGCTCCAGATCTCAAGAGTCGAAAATGCACAAATGCAAGCGGTTGGCAATTGCGCGGGAGGCTCCACTGTTACCTCAGGTTGTGGTTGGTCTCTTAAGGTTGGAGGAAGTATAGCCAGGTCCCTTTAAGTACAACTACCGAGGCTCCGTATGAGTTAAAAGGCGTAAGAGACTTAAAAGTACTTTGGTTTAGGGAAAATCGTCAGGAACCAACCTGCATCTTCTATCTCTTAGTGCATCTTGACCTACACCAGAACGGTCATAGTGCGAATTTGAACTGTGGCTTCAATACCTAAGTGGCTGCTCGTGGAACAGGCTGCCTAGATTCTCCAACTCTCAAAACTTACACCAGAAACGCCTCCACCTTTTCCCTTCAAACATCCCAACTCTTCCTACCCATCCTTTTCAAATAGAGCACCCCCAAGAGAACACATTCGCGGCTGCTGCTTTTGATTACAGCAGAGCAGAGCAGAGCACCGCGACTTCCACTACTCTCAAGTCAAAAGAAAGGACAAGCGAGCAAGTGGGTATCGAGGTGAGCCGAGCCCGAGTCATTCATGTCGAGTTGCTCTCCGCGTTCTTCTTTGGACTTGCCTGATTTTGACCCAAAGCATTGCCCTTACCTTCGCTTCGCTTTGCCTTGCAGGTTGCTCGTAACAGCCATTTCCTGCCCTGCTCTTTCCTCTACCATTTGGCTTCGGGACCCGTATCCGTCAGGCTATGGGACCACTTTGATTTTCTAGACCCTCCTTGCCCTTGTCCTGTCTTGTCTACATCAAGCCAACCAGCCATCAGATCGATACTTTTCATCTGCCTTGTCATCATTCTTTTCTTTCTTTCCATCTACATCTATGCTGGTCTTGCCACATATCGCTGCGTATTCGTTTACACCGTCGCACGGATCTTGAGCATCAGGCTTAGACGTGATCGCGTTTTTCTCTTAGCTAGTATCGCTCGACCTTCTTATCGTTAACAATCATGCCTAGAGACGACTTGTCTATCGACTTCGTCAAGAGGATGCCTCAAGCCGAAGCCCTCGACCCTGGCTTGATCCTCGACGACTGGATTAACCGCGTCCAGAACCTCCCCGAAGAGATCCGCTTCATACAAGAAGAGGTTGCCGATAAAGATCGTCAATACCACGAGTGCTTACGTACGATCGAGGACCGTGACGGGAAGATACAGAAATGGATCAAGACAAATGGAAGCCATGAGCCAAATCCTAAGGAGGAGCTTCTTCGAAAACAAGTCCGCGACAGTTTTGCGCAAGCCGACCAACTATCGAAAGAAAAGATCGCACTGTGCCAGAAGATGCAGATCATAGTAGACAAGCATCTCAAAAACTTGGACAATCAAATCAAGTTGCTTTACGACCGGGCCGAACCTGGCTTTACCGATCCTGATGAAGTCCCCTCATTACTTCGACCGAGCGCTGCAAATCATACAGCCCCTTCGATCCGGGCCATAAACCCAGCAAGTCATATGACGACCGCAGCTGGTCCCTCGACTCCTCTTGCCGCTGCGCAAACATCCTCTAATCCCGCACTTGCTCGACTTCCCAACCACCCCAATGTTCGCCATGCACAGGCTCAGCAGCACTCAGCATCTGCTCCTGCAACACCCGCAGCCAGTATGATTCTGAATCGACAAAGAGAAGGTTCTGCAGGGCCTGCGACAAAGCGTGTCGCTCGGGTGAACCCTGCTTTGGGGACTGTACCAAATACATCGAGCGGTTTGGCAAGACACTCATCACTTGGACCCGGCACCCCTAAGGGCGGTGCCGTCGGAGGGTCTGGTCTTGCGAGGGCAGGTAGTGCAGGCCCAAGAACCGGGTCTGTGAAGTCAACAGGAACAATGAGCGGCCGTCGAGGCACGCCTACTGGTGGAATCCGGAAGAAGCCTACCAATAAGTCGAATCTTTCACGGGTTAAGAAAGCCTCAAATCGAAACTCGCCTGCGCCAACGAATGATAGTGAACTTTCGGATGTCGACAGTGGCAGTGGAGAGGATGAAGATGGTGCCGATGGTCGGTCAAGAGGTACACCCGTGGCCGATGGTAAGGATGTTGACGGAGATGATATTATAGGAGATGCTGACGACGACGACGAAGAGGGTGGCGACGACAAGAAGTATTGCCTTTGCCATAATGTGAGCTACGGGGACATGGTCGCGTGCGACAACGATAATTGTCCCTATGAGTGGTTTCACTGGTCATGTGTCGATCTCAAGAGCGAGCCCAACGGGACATGGTACTGCCCTAAGTGTAGAGAAAAGCTACAAAAGAAGGGCAAGTAGGATGGCCCGGAAACTGCCGAGCTTTACGTATCATATCACAATTGAGGTGCTCAGTACTTGTAGATAAATGCGGTTGGGTTTAAAAGTGGCGTTTAGGAAAGGCATATATACCCAGGTTGCTTTGAACATTATAGTTTCTGGTCTCCGAGCGCAGAAGCTGGAAATTCACGCATTACTTTAAAACCCTTCGAGGCTTAACGATTTACTTTGGATTCGATATGTCTATGTAGGTCCAAGAACACACTGAACGACACCCCTTCGGACCCCCTCTACCTCTTCCCTAAGCTGTTCCACTCGGGCTCCTTTCTGACGCGCTTTGTCGATAAAGTCATCCAGTGAACCACCGACCCCAAAGTATAGGCGTTTCGCTCCTACAAGCGCAGCTGCTTCATTGCCCTCAGTCTTCTGCTCTTTTTCCAGTATTAAGAAGAGGGTTTCAAGGAAGGCCTGGAGGGCAAACGGGGAGTAGATTGTTTCTGCACCGAGAAGCAGCGTGCTCCTTTCCTGGTCATGGCCTGAAGGCAGAGCGTATATGAGGTGGACGAATTCCTGCGACCAAGCACCAGACACAAAGGAGAGAGTGACATTTGCTTCTTTTAGTGATTGTTCGAAGGCGGCGAGAACGTCAGGGCCTAGCTCAACCTCACCCTCAATTGAGAAAGCTTCCTGAAGAGCAGGTATCTGAGGGTTGTTGAGAGCCCATGAAAGGATGAAGTTGGGCAAAGTAACGAGCTGGAGAACTGAAGGGTTATAGTCCGCCATGATAAGTGACAAATACTTCTTTTCCGATGTTGAGGTCATGGCCCATTGGAAGACTGCCAAAGATGGTAGAGCTGTACCACATCCAAGCTGTTGGTCTAGGGTTAGATATATCACGTTACAAGTATAATTTATTCCACATACCTCCATAACTCGAAAAGCCTTCTGTTCCAGTGCTGAGATGACCTTATTCGCAGCCAGTACCTTAACTAAATCGACACTGCTCTCCCAGCTCTTGAAGCCGCCCTCATAAACACCCGTTTTCACATCATGACTTCCCAACCCTTCAGACTGAGCACCCGCAACGTCTTCCTCCTCGGCCATCAGCTGCACCCTCACGTCCCATAACTCTCTTCGCGGTAGCTGAATAGTAGTCCCATCATCAAGGGCCACATCTAAAAGGCTATAGGCGACCTTTGACGGTAGCTGAGCAAGCAGATCAGACAGTTGATGGACAGTTGGTGGGAGCTGAGGCTTTCCTGGGACAGGAAATGCGCTGGTGGTGGCTGCGGCAGCTGATGTGGGCTTGACGACAGAGGGAGTCTGCTCATTGTCGGAGATATCGTCACCAGCGAAACTAAATGAAAACGACATGGTGAAGGGAAGTTTTGTTCACCACTTAAGAAGCTTTCAAGACTTTGATAGGTACAGATAAAAAGTTGTGAGTGTGTGCACTGTGTAGTGGGGCAGTAGAGGCAGATAGTGGTAATGTGCCGGACACTGTGCTTGAGAATCTCGACTTCCGCAATTCTGTCCGATATCTTCTCAACGACTCGTCTTTAGCAGTCAACAACACAGCCAGTGAATTCTTGTTTCTACATGTCAATAGTACAGACTAACTTATAAGCACTTGGGGTACATACAATATGCGTCCATCTCTGTTAAGACTGGCATCAGCCGCAAACACACAACGAGGCCTTAAGCCCAACCCTACTGCCCTTCTTCCTCCTATTCCTTTATACCGCCGACTCCTCCGTGCCCATCGCAAGCATTTACCAGCTGAGATGAGAGTTCTTGGAGATGAGTACATCAAGGCTGAATTTAGAGCACACAGAAAGGTGGATAATCCGGCTCATCTGGTATGTTTCTTGCAAAAGATACAGCACGAACACTATGCTAACTAGTTCTAAGATTGGCTTCCTGACAGAGTGGCAAATGTATGCGCAAAAAATTGAAGGTGATCAGTGGGTGGGTGACAAGCTGGACGAGCAGAAGCTCTCAAAGATGAGTGGTAAGTGAAATTGAATAGTGCATGAATGATTTAATTTAACATATAGCAGATGAACAGATACACCAACTATACGAGTTGATGCAGGCCATTCAAAACCGGAGCAAAGAGGGTGGCGAGCAGGAGTCATAGATATAGTCTCATGGAGAAGAGAAAGTCCATGATTGAAGAATTTATGGTCATATAGCGAAGACTAAGGTATAACCCAGCGTTTTGCTAAGTTTATTGACTTGGTTATGTATTTCTCCAAAATCTTGTACACTATATAAAGTAGACCCTTTCCCATGTATTAACTACAGGTATGCCTTTACTGTACAGCACTATTGAATGTCATGTCTATTTGCCCCCCATTGCTTCAACAATCCATGTAGCTTGGATGGCGCTGACCTTCTTGGCGTAGTTCTTATTTGTATAGACGTGTTCGAGGAACATGATAGCTTCTTTCTTCTGCCCATGCAGTACGCTGGCAGGATGGATGGCAACGACGTGTTTGCCTTGGACCGTGACAAAGCTGCCGTCAGGAGCCAGCATGGCGGTTTTCAGAGCGAAGCCTCTCAGGAAGCACTTGAGGACTTGCTCAGCGCGTTCCGGGGAAATAGGAACAAATGGTTGAGGATCAGCCGGTGGAGCCTCACCCAGGAGCTTCTCCTTAAGACACATACCCCGAAGCTGCCTTCGAATGTTCAGAGCCTGTTTCATGTTTCTCATGTTGATTTTCCGTTGCTTGCACCAATTTACTCTGTCTGCGTTCTCCGCGGTGTATTGTTGGATGGTGGTAAGATATGTGATGATGTCTCCCTCGCGGCGTTGGAGCTCCTTTCTGAAGTTTTCCACCTCTTCTTGGGCCTGTTCAGACTGGATACTCAAGAAGATATCCTCTCCAGATGTAATACAAGAAATTATGTCGATCGCCTCAACCACACAATCAAACTCGGGATCCGCAGCAGCAAGCAACACAGCTCCCAACGGCGCAGAAATAGGAAAGCGGGCCATCGTTTCGCCAGTCCTCGTGATAGTACCATCATCATTGAGAGCACCAAGGAAATGCAAGTGAACCAGAGCTTTCTCGATTGCTTCTGTCTCTGGGGGATCCATAAGAGGGAAAGCAAGGACATCCTGGATTCCCCGTGCCTTCATGGTCAGAACTGCTCCCAAGACGTCGTTGCGAAGAATCTCGGGAAGATCGGAATCTTGCAGTGTCTTGAAAGCTGATTCTGGGTATAATCTGAAGCATTTTCCTGGACCCTCACGGCCGGCTCGACCAGTTCGCTGCACAGCAGATGATTTTGAGATGGGTTTCGCAAGAAGAGATTCCATGCCCAGGCGTGCTCGGTATTGCTTCACTTTGGCTTTACCGCAATCCACCACATATCTGACTCCGGGAACAGTGACTGATGTCTCGGCAATATTTGTCGCCAGCACAATCTTACGTGTGAAAGGAGTCTTGACAGGTAAGAAGGCCTCGCGCTGCGCGTCCATCGAGAGCTGGCCATACAAGGGGAACACCTTGATCTTGGGGACATTAGAGGCAAGAGTTTCTGCATATTCCTCAATCAGCTTTTGGGCAGCTTCAATCTCTTCCTGGCCGGTCAAGAAAGCAAGAATATCTCCCGGAAGCTGCTCTTGCAAGTGTATCTTGTATATCGTCTTCAGAAGGGCGTCCTGGATGTCGGGTACAGGTCGCGGTTCATGGTGAACTGTGACGGGGTACTGCCGTCCCTTGATCTTAAGAACCTGTAGTGTGTTTTCGCCCTCGTTCTTTGGTCTCACGTCCTTGAAGAATTCTTGAATGCCCTCCACGTCTGCTGTCGCACTCATGATGACCACTTTGAGCGGGATGCCCCCGCGGCCAGACAAGTCGCTTGCAAGAATCTGCTTCAGGAAACCAACTAGTAGATCAACATCAAGACTGCGTTCATGAATTTCGTCGACCACGATAGCGCTGTAGCTCCTAAGATTGGGATCCCGCAGAAGTTCCTGAAGCAACATACCCTCAGTCAAGAATTTGATCCTTGATCCCTTTGGGACCTGGTGGTCAAATCGAACCGAGTAACCGACCAAACCATCTCGTCGTCCTTTTCCTAGAGGAGTCCCAGCTTCTTGAGATACACGATGGGCCAAAGTTGTCGCGGCGACTCGTCGAGGCTGCGTGATTGCGACCACGCCACCCACTGAGATCTCATCGTCTGAAGCGGCGATCTTGATCTTTTGACGTCTACACCAGGGCTCCTGATAGAGAAATTGAGGAACCTGAGTACTTTTTCCGGAACCTGTCTCACCCACTAGCACGAGCACGTCGCTGCCGGACTTTCGCAGCGCTTTCTGAATGTCCTCGCGATACTGCCATATTGGAAGCTCTTTGCGTGTCTTGAGCAATTTTGGATCATCTCGTGTCCGAGACCTATCACTACTATCACGCCCTCTGGGAGGTTTCTTGTGCTCTGGCCTTTCCTTCTTTGCCTCTGTGGTGGTGGTAGGGGTAGCTGATGGGGTGGTTGTAGGGGCTGTTGGGCTGTCTGATGCTGGTGTTGCGGTTGCAGGTACAGCCTTTGAGGGCGCTGTGAGATACCCTTCGAGGGAAATTGTTTTCCCCCCTATAGTAATAGCATTTGGGTCAGCCTTGTTTTTTGTTTTCCTCTTTTTCGCCGGGGGAAGGCCAGAATTGTCAGTTGCCATCGTGCTGGGTGAAAAGTTGGCGACGGTGGAAATTTTCACTGGGATGTTGATAAGCTGGTAACTAGGCAATCGGCAGGATCAGAATTATACCTGACCAGAGACTAAAAGCATCCCGACAAAATAAATCCGACAGAAGGGCATCTGTCTAGCACTACATGCATTCCACTTATTTTGCTCAGGCCTCCTGATTGTCCCCACCCAGGCCGCCAACTACAGTTATCGTGGGTTCTAAACCATGGCTCACGCTGTACTTCTACGATCAAAGAGCTCGTAGTATTGAAAAAAGAACTGATGCTTTGATTGCGAATAAAATAAATTCAGAGAGGTCTAAATAACTTTATAGTTCTCATCAAGTACACTTTGCTTTCGTAGGACACAATCAAATCCAAACACCGTTAATCTTCACTAAATATCCCTTGAAGATTAGACATCCTGACTTGATATGTCTCTGACTTCCCCATCTTCAGTTTAGGGAAACTGATTCGCAAGATGCCAGAAACCCGCTGCCCAGTGTATGGTTGTGCATGACGGAATCTGAAGGCTTGGTGCGCCGGAATCTGAAGTTAAATCTCAAACATAAAAGAACAAAAACACTAAATCCTTAAGAGTTTACTCAACCTCTCTTCTTTCACAGGCAATCAAACTTTTACGTGTTTTGTCACTAAAAAATATGAAGCCATCCTGGGTCGTCTGGTCAAATACGCCTCATCAATGAATGCGTAGAGCTCTCGTCGAAGAAGCCAAGATTCGGAGGCGATGTAGGATACCTTAAACGCCGAAGGCAGGGCTTTACATCCGGAAGTATCAATATCTGTCTCCTATTAGACGATTAAACGGTGATTCAGTTCTGATGTATACATGTCCCTTAGAATGCTCCAAAGCCCGGATTCTTTTGAGTTGGTTTATACAATTGATCACGACCAAGACAGTACTAAACCTGCAGTCCTGTAATGGAAACGTCTAAATAGACATATTAAATCCTGACGTGCTAACCCTCCCCTATCCCAACACAGTTGCTATATATCATCGTTCTATCAATTGCCCTTTACTTGATACGGGCCAATCGTTCTCGGTTCATTCTCGTGGCATCGTCAACAGCATCGCTCTGTGTCAAGTTAGTAATATGATCGTTGGTTGAAACTTGAGAAAACCACTTGCCTTGTTCATAATACGATCGATCTGCTTGTTCTGTGAGTCAACCTCCTTGCCAATAGCTCTGCCGACCATGTTCATCATGGACACTTGGCCCTCAAGTTCGGTGATACCATCATCGATCTGATCCTCAAGCTCATCCGCCCCCTCCTCATCGTCAAGGTTAAATTTGCCGTAATCCTTCTTACGAGGCTGCTGTCGTGGCCGGCCCACGGTGTTCATATCTCGGAAGTTGCCTTCCATGCGCTGGTTGGCTTGGAAACCATCACGGCGGGTGGCTTCTCGTTGTTCTCGCTCGGATCGATGGCGTGCCATGACCTCCTCGTCTGCCCTTTGCTTGCGTTGCTTGGAGGTAAAAGGGTTGCTGACATGCACGGCAAACATGCTGCCGTTGAGTGTCTTGAGTTCAGCAGCCCGGTCTTGAGCAATCTTGTTCTGGTTGGCAGCTAGATCAAGGTGCTTTTCTGTGTTGTTCAATCGCTCCCCCTGGGCTCCCAGGCGAGCCAGAGTGGCGCGACCGACTTCGTTGGCTTGTCGAGCCATTTGTACCGAGCGGTTGACTGAAGATGCACTGTCCTGCTGAAGCTGTCGCTTCTCCGCCAGAATAGATTGATATTCGGCTTCTTCTTGCTCCTCAGCGGTCAACTCGCGCTCCTCACCATAACCGCCGTACGAACCGCCATCGGCTCCTGATTGTGGACCGTTATTAGCAGGTTGTTGCTTCTGGGCCTGGCGTTCCTGAGCACCAGCGAACAAGTTGTCTCTGTTGGTGTCAGGCTCACTGGGTCCAAAACCACCATAGCCACCGGGGCCTCTTGCACCAGCAGCTGGGCCGGGGCTATTGTATCGATTCTGAGGAGCAGAGTCGCCATATCGATTTCCACCATAGCCGCCACCGGATCCGTATCGATCAGCACCGTATCCGCTCGGAGGTTGGGGCTGAGAGTTGAGGCCTCCTTGCGCAGGAGCGGGAGCACCATAGGAGTTCGGAGCCTGGGCGCCAGGAGCGCCAGGGCCGTTGTTGAGACCAGCGCGGGCTTGCTGATAAGGAGTTACGTTGGCATACTTTGCATCGTCGGCATAGGGGTCTTTTCCGCCTTGTTTAGCGTAGGGATTCTCAGAGGAACTGGACTGAGACGACTTCTTGCGACCAAAGAGGGCGTGGCGGTTGGCGTCGTCGCCATCATCGCCTTTCTTTCCAAAGCCAAACTTCTTCATGGCAAGATCTGTCGAATATGGAACGGAATTGAGATGTTATCGGGCTATCACGGTAAATTGTGATAGAAAAAAAAAAGAAGAAAAAAAGAGAGAATTACGAAAGTAAGAGTTGAAAGGAGAAGAGGATGGTAGTGCTGCCTTATGAGAGGACCGATAGTGGTTTCCTGCAGTACTAACTTTAGGTACCGGTGGGGAGAACGGACCCTGGGCTTAGCCTGGGCGGTGTCCCTGACCCCTCCACTTGAACGTCGAAACTCACCTCCATGTGTCTGAGTATACTTTGTCACGCTTGCAGTGGCGTGCCTATCCATTAATTCTCCCATCGTTTCGGGGATGGAGCAGGCGCCTCTCAGGCCTAGACTGACAGAAGGTTTCGATTTACAAGGCATTTATGATCTCGTTATGCAATAGGCGCCCAACAAGCGCCCGAGATCCAATCCATCCGATCCAAAGGATTACACTAGACCCTTTAATCCCAGGCCCCTGGTGTTGCAGCTGCAATTTGGACCCTCTCCATGCAAGTCCCTGAATCCTTAATCATATGCTCTACGGTAGCTATTGGGTTGTCATTCCAGTCTTGCAGCAACATCGATGCGCCGAGTGGATTGTCCATGCAATAGCGTCAAGAGACTTCATCGTCGCCAGTAAATGTGGCACTGGGCATCATCGCCGTCCATCCCGAGAGAGTGGCTCAGCCATTTCAATGCGTCAGCCATGGCGCCGCCTGCGTGTTCGACTTCGCTCAGCCTAGACATCCATGAATCTAACCAGGTCGTAAATTTTTTTAAATACGCGTTTCAAGGTGTATAGCATGGAGGCTGATTGTGTTTGAGCCGAAGCGAGATATGAAGCTTTGGAGGTGTTCATGGGGAAGCCAAAGCGAGCCTGACCTTTGTTTGAAGAGCATTCATGAAAGTTAGACTCCTGTATCAATATAGTTTCACCTGTGGGGCCTAGTCTATGACTGAAGGGTTTCATTCCATATTCCATGTTCTAGAAAGGCTCTGGAATGAGCACCTCACAATTGTTTCAAGGTCTTGAGAATCATTCCGAGGCAGTAGAAGGAGATGAGGCTGACTATGACTCTCTGATCAGCTTACTGTCTTTGATGCTAAAGCTGCACCTATTAATTTGGGATCTTTGGCTGATGCACCAGGGGGTGACTCACTGCTAGGTAACTGGACTTTGTGAGCATGCAATCTGAATCTGGAACTCAACTTGATGCTCATTATCGACAGGAGATGCCGGCGTTGCTGACACTGTTGCTATTCACGTACCTATTGAAAGGATCACTTCAAGAACACCACGTGGTCAGACTAAGTTCAAAGTTGAGTGCTTGCAGTAGTATACTGAAAGTATCCTTAAACAAATTGAAACCCCAGATAAGACTACCTATCTCAGTGTATTTCGCCATGAAATCATTTAGTGCAGATGTAACCAATAACCAAGATCATCTTTCGAACTATCGTATCTCACCACCACCCCGCCTACCCCCCTATACCGCCCGATTAGTAATAGTCTTAATACTAACCGATAGTATCTATAATGCAGATATCTTATAGTTATAATTATTATTTAATTAATTTTAAATTTTTAAAATAACTTTAAATATACCTAATTATAAAATAAGAATTTTTTTTAGCTATTTTTAATGCCCTTAAGATAAATACTTATATTATATTAAAGCTAAAGATTATTCCTTATTTAATATTAAGGGATTAAATTAATAAGGCTTAACTAATATAAATAATATATAAAAAGTTCCTCTTTTTAACTCTTATATAAGAAAAGGAACTTATTAACCTTATTATATTATATAAAAAGGCATTTTAGCCTTTTTTAAAATTAAAAATATACTTATATATATAATATCTTATTAAACTTAATAATCTTAAACTATACCTTAATAAGAACTAGGTTAATTATTTCTTTAGATATTATATAAGTATTATTTTAAAGTTATTATAACTTATTTTTATTATAAAAAGGAAGATAGTTATAAAAAAAGGACTTAAAAAGTATTATTATAATCTTCTAGCTATTTATAAAGAGTTATCTATAGGCTTAAATTATATATATAATTTTAATAAAACTAAAGTCTAAAAAAAGAAGTCTTTAGCTAAGGTTATTACTAAAATAGTCTTAATAACTTTATTAAAGAAGATATAATTTAATACCTTAGCTTAAATCTTAATCCTTAAGATTATATTTACTATAAGTTAGTAATTAACCTCTTATATTATATATATATAAAAAACATTATAAGGCTAAAACTTTAATAATTTTATTCTTAATTAGAAATATATATATAGTAAGAAGGGCTAAAGTAATATAAAGATTTTATTATAGTAATTTTATAATATTTTTTCCCTTAAAATAATACTAAAAGACTTATTATAATAAAGACTTCTTATCTTAAATTAATATAAGACTTATATCTTTATAGAATTTATAAAAAAGGCATATATAAATAAGGTCTAGCTTAAATAGTTACCTTTATATTCTTTTTATATTACTTAACCTCTTAATATAGGCATTTTTATAGCTTTAAAGAGGTATTATTAAGCTAAGATAGCTAGGATATATATATATAAGGTAATATTCTTTTAGTAGAAATAAATCTTTATAAGTATATATAAAATAGCTTTTAATAAAGTATTTAATTAAGATAGTATCTAAAATATATTTAAAGTATTTAAAATTTATCTTATTAATATTAAGAAGGTAGTATTAAAGTTAAAGCCTAAGAAGTATTAATTTATAATTTTAAACCCCCTTATAATATTATTAATTTAGGCTTTATAAGGTAATAATATCTTTATAATACCTTTATCTAATTATAATATTAAAAAACTACTTTTAAAGGTAAATTAGGTACTAGAAAATTCATAAAGGGATATTAAATTAATCTTTAAAAAGGCAGGTAAATCCTTTAATTAAAAGATAGCTAAAAACTATATTAAAGATAAGGCAATTGCAATTATAAGGGCTTAAGAAGCTACTTAAAGGCTATCTAGCTACTTATAGGTTAATTTTAACCCTAATTAGGCTTTTCTTAATATATTATAATTAATCTTAGCCTATAATTAGGCTAAAAGAAATACTAAGAAGTTAAATAATAAACTAGCTATAAAAATATATCTAAAAAAGTAAAAAAAAATATAAATTATTAAGCAGGTATTTTTTAAATAGTATCTAAAAAAGAATTAAATTTAAAGCTATATTTATTAAGAAATAAATTAAATTTATAATTTAATGCAATTGAAATAAAGCTATCGCGAAGTGGCGGTGTGGGGGGGTGGGCGGGGTGGTGGTGAGATGCGTTAGGTCTTATTCGGCCGAGGAAACAACCATCCTCATCGATTTTAACTCATTCTAATCTGTTCTCTTTCCTTTCTTCTATTGAAGACCAACTGGGGTAGTGCCCCACAACCGACTACCTTAGTGAACGGCTCCATTGATCCGCTGGCCGTACGTGCTCAAGACCCCACAGAGGCAACAAGAAAGGCACTAAGACATCTACAGATACCTATTACAATTCTATTATGGGCCTATTCAATAAATTACTATCTGAAATCAAGTATCAAAAGCTTACTACAAGATGTTATAAAACTTAGGAGTAAGAATTTGGACTTAGGATGGAATAGTAGAAGATCGTCATTTCGACTAAAATCTGTATTCCGGCCGTTCAGTGATATGAACTGACGGAAAGGACCATTAAAGCGATCACGGCATCCCAGGTTCCCATAGGACTCTTTTGATTGGTCATTTGGCCGATGCGTCACCTCTGACTCGCAGACTGGTAGGCTTTATTCAACCTGCCTTACATTCTATCTTCAATTTTCTAAAGCTAGAGAGCGCGGATGCCTGCGCCTTCCAGTCAATTATCTCATCCAATAAGCCGTACTCGACCGAATTTATATAAACTTACCAAAGCCTCCCTTTTTCTCTCAACATCATGCCTTTAATTTCCTGAGCTGGCAACTGACCGCCCTAACACAGCCTTCCAGAGACGTGATCACTGCACTTGCATCAACTCACAATACTTCTTCAAGTAATCAACAAGATGATAGTCCGGATACACTCCGCTTTCCCTTTTCTTCGTACTCGATATTACGCCCTCTTATCGCTCTTATATCGACACATGCTGTCATCAATATCTTGAGAATTCTTGCTCAGTATCACTCGATTATCGGATTTCACTTTAAACCTTATCTAAAACCCTACGCCCACTACAACGCAATCATGGCATCTGTATTCACCTATGACCCTGATCCCCCAAGGGTCTCTTCGCCTTGGACTACGCTCAGCGAGTCAGGAAAGGACGAGGGTGCTTTAGGCCCAGAGCTTCGCCGATCAGCACAAGAACCTCAGCCAGGGTTGTTATCCGAGTATGGGGTCACCAAGCTACAGGCCGAGCCACAAGAAGGCCCTACTGAATACAAGCTGCACCTACTCCTCCGACCTAGGAGGGTATTTAAGAGCATGAGCACTGCCGGAACGTCGCGCCACGCTCGATTAAACATGCCCTCAACCTCTTCTCTCACGCCTTCTAGCCAGGCTCGTGAACAAACCCGCCAACAAAGGCTCCAGCACTTGACTACTCAGCTCCTGTGGAGATTGCAGCAATCCTCTCCATACCACGCATCTAGTTCTAAGGAGCTAGCAATCCCAAGATTACCTGATGACAGCGTTGATCTTTCTGCTCCTGTGAAGCTGAGTAAACTTGTCCCCGGACTGGAGGAATCTAGAGGAGCTTTGTATGAGATTGGCGTCGCTGATGATGGCACTCTTGTTGGCCTCACCAAAGATGAGATGGAAGAGAGTCTCACAACTTTAAGAGTAATGGCCGCAAGCTTAGGTTGTTCAGTCGACGTCCACCGGAGAGTCATTGTTGGCGACTGCGAGTGGGTCGAGTCGACCGAGTTGGTCGACAGTTTTGTTACCTCACCGCATCAAATTACCAGAAACGGCAAACTCTGGGTTGCCGAAGCACTTGTCAAACCCAACTTTGGTTTCATAGATGAGGAGAATGGAACTAACGGTTCTCGCAACAATGAGCAGGCCATTGCGGAGAGCGCTGCCGTACCCAGCCGTGGTAGTTCAACAACACCGCAGTTAAGAGTCACTTTCACTGGTCCTACCACATCGGGTAAATCAAGTCTCTTAGGGACTCTATCAACTGGAACACTGGACAACGGCCGTGGCAATAGTCGACTTAGCTTGCTCAAGCACCGACACGAAATGGTTACAGGGGTTACCAGTTCAATAGCCCAGGAACTCATCGGATACAAAGACCAGTCAATTCTCAACTACAGTCACGGGAACATCGAGTCTTGGGTCGATATACACGACTGTTCCGAGGGTGGTCGCTTAGTCTTTGTTTCTG